CCCCCCCCATCTCAAATAAATAACAAAAGAAAAATCAGAATTTGGTAGCGTGGAATGAAGTAGAGTCGGAGGTCAAGAGTTTGATAGACCAAATGGCTGTGGCACTTCATCATAGTGGCAAGTTGTGACTATAAAGATTTTGTAGACCTCTGACAGCCAGGTGAAGGGAGGTGTGTGGGGAAAGTAAAAGGAAAAGTCATCAACATAAAAATAAGACAAAGAGCTAGAGAGTCTTCATTGCTGCTTAGATGGAGTCTCATCTCTGCTCACAGAGCAGTTCTGGGACAGGCCCATGACTGGGTTGTGAGGGCTGTACAATTGGAGCACCAATTAAATGCTCAGTCCTACATCTCTAAGGGCACTAGTTGGGAAAGGACATGATGGCATTTGGGCTGAGAACTTTGAACCTCCAGATTCCCCTGGACCTCCATTGCCTGCAGAGGCAGAGGCAGGCCACACCCGCCCTACTGCCTCCAGCCCCATAGCCAGAATTAGATCCCAACATTTCCTGTTAGAACGACAGGGCCTCCTCCAGGAGAGCCTATAGATGAAGAATTTAACAGTCCTCCGTTGCAGGAGTGCAGGGAGCATTTGTGGGAGTAGCTCTTGAGTGTGTCAGACCAGTGGGGTCATAGATGGGAGCGGCCCCCTCTTACATCTAGTAACCACTTGAAGAATGTGCATTCCATCCAGTGACCTTGGACTTCATTCCTCCCCACCCCCCTCATGTTTTATTTTGAAAAATTTCAAATCTACAGAAAAGTTGAATGAACAGTAAAAGGAACATCCTTATATCCTTCATCTATTATTTCACATTCTGTCTCTTTTGCTGAACTGCTTGAAAGTAAATTACAGATACATACATACATATACACATATATAGATACATATATAAACATTCATACATATATGCATAATATACAAATCTTTTTGGGTGAACTATTTGAAAGTAAACTATAGACATTTCATTGCTAAGTGCTTCAGTATGCATTTCTTAGGAACAGACTTATTAACACAAGTAACACTTTTAATGGAAAATTACTGTATTTTCCAAAACAAAAATAGCAAGAAGAGTCACATCATTTTATATATTACCAATCTCTTTGCTAGGAGATAGCTGGATCCTCCTGTCTGCTCCTGCAGATAACCTTCTGTAGTACATCGTTTGGGTTGAAGTGTATGAAGAAAATTCAGTCTCACAGACACACATATTTGGAAAAGGGAGAAGTATTTTAAAATAGGCTTTTCAGATAATTGTGGTTATTTTTTGATAACCACAAAGCTTGACAAGTGAGAGTTTCTGAAAGGTTAGTTGCACTATGCAATTTTTGCTTGGATTCTACCAGCAACAACAAAAATGGTCAGTTGTTTTCCTTGAGTGACAGGCCGGTTTGTTCATTTTTGAGAAATGTCAGCCAAATCCATGCCTGAATCACCCTAGTTTGTCAGTTATTCCTACAGGTAAAGCGATGCTCCCTGGAGGAAAATGATAGCTCAGGTCATAATCCAAACAATGGTGCTGTGCTTTTCCTTGAGACTGCTGTTGAACTTCAGCCTTTCCCAAGAATAGAGACATCCTCTTAGCTAACCTCACAATGATTACACCTCTAGAAAAATTCAGGAATTCTATCTTATATTCAGTTTATATTTAAATTTCCCCAGTTGTCCCCCCAGATGCTCTTTGTTTCTTCCCCTGGTACAGTATTTGATCAAGGTTCATGCCTTCATTTGGATATTAGTCTCTTTTAATCTGAAATAATTACTACTTTTGTTGTTCATAACATTGACTTAAAAGAGTCCAAGCCAAGTATCTTGTACTATGTCCCACATTCTGGATTTGTCTGTTTCCTCATGGCTCAATTCAGGTTGATGACATGTCTTTTGCAAGAATACTACAGAGTGAAGTTCTCATTGTATGACACCCTAAGGCCCATCAGGCCAGGTTGCTTCCTTTGCTCTGTGTGATCACTAGGTTAGCCAAGGGGGTGATTGCTAGACCTCTCCATTTTAAAGACACCTTCCCTCACCCTTCTAATTCTTTGAAAAGCATGTAAGTTTGGGACCTAGGGTGGAAGGGAGGAATGGTTCCCATGAATTGGCAGTGGGGATGGCCCTTTGGCCACCTTAGGCTTCTTAGGCCCCTGAACCAATAGGTGGAATTTTATATGGACTGAGATGATTGATACTGACTGTCTGGAAGTAACTGGGCTGTGGGGAACTATGTTTGGGAACCAGGGGATTTATTGGTGATCTTTTGTACTCCCTTGACCAGTTGTCCTGGTGAGTGAAAAACTGGAACAATCCACAAAGGAAAGAAGACTTTGAGCTCCCCATCTGGAAAAGAACTCTGGCCCAGCCAATATGCTGGGAGAAGTTGAGGGGAACGGGGAATGGGCAGTGGGAAAAGGCAACTACAGTGACCAACACAGGCCTCCCAGACGTCACAGCTGTGTTTTATGTAACTGAATTGTTTCTTGTGTCCCTCTGTTTGAAATAAGTTATGTGGATAACACCAACGCTGGCTAAAGTTTTAGGTTTAGGCGAGAGTATGAGAAAATTGCTGTCAGCTTGACATGAAATGGGAGGTGATAGAACTTCATGCCCATTCTGTGATGGGGGCTCAATCCTTCACCAGATGAAGGACCAGAGAGGATGCTGAATGCAAAAAGGCCGGGTATATATTCTGCCTGTCCCTCCAGGTCATCATACACTGTGCTCTGTATGGATTGTATCCTCGGCCTGTGCTCTCTAGTTTCTGGTTGCGTTTGATCCATGGCGAAAGGAGAGTGAGGCGGAGC